TAAACTCTTCACTTTCTCCACTACCAGTTCCACGAAGCCATCGTGATGCTTCTTTGTTAAGGTTTAATGAAATAAATGAGCGACTTGAGTGATAAAGGGGAATACCGAGAAGAAGGTGGCAGGTTTCCTGAGCAGAGATGTCACGCTCTGCAACACTATGTAATAATAACTTTTGGACTGAGGAAAGTAATGAATCGTCGGGATTGCTGTTACAAAGGATTTGATTTAATATTTCTGAGAAAGCTGCCGATTGCGATTCAGCTTTGCTTACATATTTGGAAATGTATTGCAAGGCTGCGTGGGTACTTAGAATTGGCTTTAAATCAACGTTTGCTCGCCAACCCTGTAGCTGAAGTCTACTGTGCGGATTAATATATGGATCATTTCTTGCTGTCACAAGCTCTGGCTGTCCATGACCATCGTCACGCACTATTGTATGCTCAGTGTTCTCCTTAGGATATCCGAATCTGCAAGATTGTTGACCTGCTCGATTAAAACGAAGACAATATGAAGGACTGCATCTTGTATGTCGTTGTAATTTATTAATTAATTCAATATAGTTATGTAAGTCATCATGTAGCTCTTCATAATGCTTTTGACATGGATGGCGATCAGGAATAGGTACATTGAGCCCTGGATTTATTGTGGTAACCAGGCTATCTAGATATCTTACTACTTTATTCATCACATTCTCATCTTCCTTCATTTGCGTCCATTCGATTGCAGTTGCACTTCGTCTTTTTGCGATTCTATACATATGGACGCTACCGCGGTGTTGCCATTCGTATCTATACCACCATTCGACTAAATCCCATTGCCGTTTTAGCACGTCGTTAAAGAAAGTTTAAAACCTCTTGTTGAAAAACCAGATTGCAATATGAGGGTTATCAATAATGTTTTGATGATATTTAGCTGGTTCAATTTCATCTACAAGGTTTTCACTAAATGACATTAGTTTATGGAGCTCAGGCCAGTGCAAATCAGCCGCACTAAATGTGAAGAATACCAATCCATGTAAACCTATCTGCCTAATCATATCTGATAGTTCACAACGACGTACCATCCAAAACTGTCGGAATCCACGTAAGCCCTCACCAAACCGCATAATATGGTTAGCAATATTCTTATCACTTTGAGCAATCATTTCTTGGATATCTGTAACTATGAGCTGGGAATCGCTAAAATTTTGCCTAACATATACTTTATCTTCTTGTAATGCTCTCCATCACATCTGTGAATTAAGTGCAAAGTACCACCAGCAGGTATGACGTGCAAATCTCCCATCTTTATATTGGAGTAGATGTTTAAAGTATTCAGCTGGTTTAATGTCTCTAACACGTTCTGCGCGAAGATCAGGGCATCCCGTTGGATAGAGATTTGGGAATGCACGAGCAATATAACCTGAAGTTTGGAACTTATTAATAGGGTTATTATCAATATGCAGCCATGCCATAGGATGATCTTCATTTTGCATATGATTTAGAGTATCACTAATAGCAACATCTTCATGATGAGTCGATGGAAGAAAAGGGATAAAGGTACGTGTTATTATGTCATCATGTTTTTCGTCATCTAAATCTTCAATAACTATTTGACTATTCTGAAGATGATTATCAATATATCCATCGGTAGGCAAGGATTGAAGAACTTCATTATCAATAATTATATTAGCATAGTAATGATTATTTGCCTTTAACCAGTATAATGCACGAGTAACTTTGCCACGACGAATCTTAAAATCCCTGAATGATTCTGATTTCGATGATTGGCGATGTACGATAAGGATGTCTAATGATAACGGACATCGAAGGAGACGAGCAGCGAACTCTTGTACATCCTGGGGAAAGTTGATAACATTTCCACTGTATCTATATTGTCCCCACGAAGTCTGTATACTGACATTACGAGGAAGACCTGTGCAATTAACATCTCTTCAATTTCTGAGAGATTCTAAAATTCTTCAGGTACTTCACCTGGATCCATATTGTTTTCTGCTGAAAACTTTTTTGGTATAGTCTTCTCAGTATAGCAATGACGATATTCACCTTTAACAAGTACTATAGATGGAAAGTGTTTATTGCATATAGGACAAAGAGTATGTTTAAGTTTATTCATTTTAGTACGAAATTGGCGTAGAATACACCGATCGGATTCACTAATATCAGCAGCAGTAATAGGTAAATTAATATGCGTGGTTATGATATTTTTATTATTTTGAGGTTTACTAAATTGTTGCTGCGGATCGACATTTTGGTTTTGATGTTCAATAATAGTTCTTAGTTGATATCTTCTTTTACAACGATCGTTTAGGTGTTTTTCGCGTTGTTCATCGGTTTCTAATACTACTTTTTGGCATTTTCTGTTACGGTCACAAATGAGGCGTACCTCGCATTCTTCAATGGTTTCTACTGCTCTTTTTTCGCATTTCTTCTCGTATTCAAGGGTAAGACGTAATTCATGTTGATAAGATACTTCGTTCTCTCTGCTCCTTCGCTTTCGAAGAGTAGCGTGATTAACGATTTGTTTATTCATTAAGAAGTCAGATAGGGTAATGTTTCATCGTCTTTTAAAGTATCTAAAGTTTATTAAAAGTATAAAAGGTAGCCTAAAGGCGGATGCAAAGGGATGCTCGAAATTTTAAAAAAAAAGTAAGTCGTTATTTTATCGTTTTTCGTTATATAATTGCTTAAGCCAATCAATCTTTATTCACGTGTTCATTTCGTCAAACCCTAAATACGGAAAAAGATCTTACGAGTATTACGTCGCATTATTCTACATATACGATATAGTTTTGCGACAAAAAAAAAAAAAAAACGATCTTTAGACGTTTTCTTAAATTTATTACTTTAGTAATGGCATTTAAACTAAGGGCAGGTTATTCTCCTATGAAACAATTACGAAATAGTATTATTAACGACCTACTCGAGTTACCGAAATCTTTGTACGCAGTAAGTATTCTTTCTTTTTTTTTTTTTTTACATCTGATTCTTTGCTATAGACACGATTATTTATATATTTCCCTTAGCAAAAAGCATATAGTGCCTTGCATCGTACCAAATATGGCATTAAGGGTAAAAGAGTGACTATGGATTTTTTAGACTTTGTACGAAATTTCGCTAAACATGTAAGTATTTAAAATTATTACGTTTCTACATTTA